GAATTAAAAAAAAATTACTGAATTTAATTCAATGAACGTTTCATTAAGTCACTCGTGGGCAAAATTAAGAGAACTTGCAAATTATGTTTATTTTTAAGAAAAGTTTTGAATCTAAGGTACTAATTATGCCACCAAAGAATTATGCAAATATTCAGAGTCGAATACGTAATCGTACATGTGCGTATCTGCGGAGCTATGATTATAATTGCTCTTTATTTCATAAATTACGGTTTCATATTTTTAAGTTTATAATTTCTGCATGCCATCTTACCACATTTAAATTGATGATCTATAATTCTGAAAAACCCCTAATCCGGAATCTCCGAAGTCCCGACGAGTCCGGATTAAAGATTTTGTACTGTAATATTCTTTGCACCATCTGCAAGAAAGTCTTCCAATCACAGCGTGAAGAATTTGCTTTTGGAGTTGTGGAACAAACGTAGGATACTTATCAAATTCTTTCAAACGAGATTCTTCTTGAAGAAGCCAGAAGTTGCCCAAGACCTTGAAACCAAACAGCTTGACCGAATGGGTTTTCTTCTTCACTACAACCTTTCGTTCTATCCTCTCCTGTACAATGGATCTCGGACAAAGAGGCTAACCGCCATCGAAACTGATTAGTATGTCTCTCCTTGTGAAAGAGTCTGAGCATCGTAAGGATAAAACACAATTCCAAGCAACAGGAATTAAAACACAAATATACAAAACATAATACACAAGGGTAAGAAGCACTACTTTAGGCAGCAAATATCTCAAATGCATAATTAATAATAACTGATATAAAGCACAGACAGCAATACAAAAGAAAAATATAATGAACAATGTTCACAAACATAATCCTTCCATTACGAAGAATACAAATTAAACAAAGAAATAGATTTACATAACACAACTGGTAGATGATTATTTGCAGGGTCGGAGGAAGCAGGCCTGCAAGGCCCTTCTTGCAGGCGCGCGCCAACTTAGAGATGGGCACCGACCAGCCGACGACACAGAACTCTTTTTTTTTAAAGGAAAAAGAATGTAAAATAATTATACCTTGAGTGCTACGCCCCCCTCCTTTCTTCTTCAGCCCATTCATCAAACGTTAGGTACAGTGTCACACACAGAAGTTCGAGTTCTGAAAGCTATGGGAATTCACGCTGTGAGGAAGTTTAATCTATACTAGAGATTATACTAGAGATATATAGTAGCCGTTATAGTAGCCCTAGTTAGGGACCTTCGGAGAACAGCCTTAACCGTTAGCCCATATCCTTAGAGGAGCCAAGTTGGACGTGACGTTAAATACAGAATTATTCCGCGCTTTTCCCCATGGTAACGCTGCGCGTGCGCAAATATAGGGCGTTATTTTAAATGTGTCATATTTGGCGCTTTATAGCAAAGAAAATATATTTCAATTATTTAGGGAAATGAGCAAAGCATTGCAGAGAGAATGAATGATTAGTAGTAAGTTTATATGTAGTTTATGTAATTTTTTTAAAATTAATGTTATTTATCCTCATCTTTAGAGCCTTTAATCCAAAAAATTGTTTGAAAATTTCAGGCTGTTTATGTCATAGGACATAAAATTTCGTTTCGGAAAGAAAAATAGTATAGAAAATTAACAGACTTTTGAAGATGCTTTTCATTAATTTATGGTTATTGCCTTATAATGTGGTAAACTCATATGAGAATAAAGTGAATAATAAAAAAATAATCGTTTGCCTGAAAGAAAAAATTACTCATGTATTTAGTAGTAAACTTGAGGAACCTTTTTCCAATCCAAATTTTATGTCAGTGTGTATGTAACAGTAAACTAAATATAAAATATAAAATACATTCAGGAAGTAAATATGCATGATTTCTATGTATAGATTGTAGACACATTAGGTATTCTTTTGGAAGCAGGCAAGATGAAAAATTAGCAACCGCCTTCGCCGGGAATCGAACCACGGACCTCTGACACTCTGGAATACCGGCCCAGCATGCAGAACCACTACACGAAGGCACGCTAGGTAGGCCGGAGAAATGCCTTGTAAGATTATAAATCAAAATATATTATATTCAATTTGTATGTACATATTTCTGAATACACACATACGTTTCTGAATACAGTCCCAATAACAGACAAGCACACCTCTGATATCTATAAACACTGAAATGTAGAACTTTAATTCAATATTAACTTTCCTCAATAAGTTGAATATTACATTATTTGAAATTTTTAAATAATGTAAAGTTCAACTGTTTAGTTTCAGTTCGTGAAAAACTGTATTTTTTCTGCAAAATGAAGCTGTTGAGTGTTTTTTTTTTTCTACAGACAAATTAATATAAGTAGCCACACATGTTTCCATAAGATTCTATTCTTTAACTTACCAGTATGGATTCACTCTTTTAAAATAATTCTACTTTAATTAAACTTAGGAGATAATATAATCAATTAATCAGTATTGTTTAGGAAATAAATTATTATTAACTAACTTTGCAGCAATTGCGCAAGTAGTAGTAACTTGTTTTCGCACTAAATGAATTTAAGATCATACAACATTATATATATATACTAGAAAGCCCGGCGGCCATAAGAAATGACCACTATTCTAGATATTATAAATTGTAATTAAAATGATTTGTGCAAAGGTGTCTGCTAATTCAAACTGAATTACCCAGGGCAGGCGAGGACGCCCCTCTGCTTACTGCCCCACGGGGTTTCCCCCTTCTACTTGCTTAATTGCTTAAAGTAGAGTGCGATGAAGGAAACCACTGGCCGTACATTTCTTAAGAGCCCACTGCTAGCTCAATCAACAAAGATGATTTAAATAATGAAATGTTAATTCACATGTCAAAGATCTCTTTGTACACAACATTGTGTAGATCTTCTCCATCATTTTTAAGCTCGCCTTGCAGAGGACGATTCAATATTTTTTAATTTTACCTCCGTTCTTTCACGAACTCTTGAACACGCAACATAAAGTTGACCGTGTCTAAATGCAGGCTCAGGTAAAAAAATACCAACACGCTTAAGCGTTTGGGCCTGAGACTTATTGATGTCATAGCGAAGACAAGTTTTACAGGAAATTGTTTACGTCTCAATTGAAACGGCAACCCTGTGCCGTAGCAACTTCACCCCATTGGCTAGTACAGTTATGCAAGCAACCAATAAACTGTCGGCGACAAAACGGCTGGCTCCCGGGCTTAGCGAAGCACTCCGTTGGATTTCGCAGGTCCGTGGCACGCCATTTTGACCATTCGCGTCTTCTTGGGACTTTAATTAGCCGAGATATTAATTAAAAACTAGTTTTCCCCTATGTTTTCCACTATCTTTCTTGGGTTTTCCCTCTTAGAGGACTTCACCTATTATTCCCCATCTTCAGTTCCTGACAGGTTTTAGCCGCCCGTGAGATTAACAGGGATTCACTTCTTTTAAAACTTCAGATGGGGTGGCACTGCGATCGCCGAGGCAAGCAGCTGCACGTTCGCAGCGCTCCGTAAAAAAAGTGTAAAACATTCCTTTTCCCTTAGTGATTATCAATTAAATTACTTTGAAATAGTGTTTTTTCTACAAAACCTACACCTTATCGAAAGATTTTCAGCTCCGATGTTGATAAGAATGAAACAGCGGATAATGCGAGGATATACTACAAAAGCCTCGAAGTTTGAGATAAGAACCCTTCTTTCATCTAAACTAAATCAAATTTCTATAAATAAGTGCCTTTAAATCAATAAATTTTAATTTTTAATCAGTTTTTAGCATTAAACAATACTTGTAATTGATTATTGCCTGCGGCTTTCTTTCTGGTTACAATTCCAAACAGACGCCAACGTTATCAGTTCACGTCTGTCACCACCTACAAAGCCCCCTTATCTTGTTTTGAGGAATCTCGGGAGAGGGAAAATTGGGGATTTGTGGCATCCCGCTACTTCCCTCTCGGATCTTTGGGTTTCCCTTTTTTTAGATCGCTTAAATTTATTTTCGCCTTTAAATAATATTATACCTCACCGATTTTTTTTCTCTCATACTGTTCCTTGCTATCTGTAAAATGTCCATATGTAAGGAATGGGATATTCTTCACTGCTTAAATAAATTCTTAGAACTATGAGCTTATATACATAACAGTGTGCCTCATTGTGTTAAACTAGCATTAATTAATTAGTAATAAATTATGATAGTAAAATAATTAAACTTGTAATAAACTATGACAGTTAAATTAATGGGATTACTGGTAAATAATTAGGGATTACTGGTAAAAGGCCTTAGACTGTGTCTAATTTAAGTTTTTAATACATACACTCTGTAATTTACACACACACACACACACATATATATATATAAACATATATACTTTTTTTTTGTGTGTGTGCGGTTGTGGTCTTGTATTCTGTATGTCTCTATGTTCTTTGTCTTCTGCAGTTTTTTTGAAAAATGTATGAAAATGTTGGGAATGAAAATAGCATAAGTTACTTTAGTTAAATTAATATATACTTTTGTCTGATGCTATGGGTCTTTTGCTGTTGTGTCTCAGGATGCAAGCATATATATTATTTTGTATTCCATGCTAAATATTTTGATACGATGCATTTTAAGACTGTCACTCTCCCCCCCCCAGTATCACATCTATTCAGCATTACCAAACACACTCACTACGCATACACACACACACACACCTGTGAGACACTATTTATTGTAAATGAAGACAGCTTCTTCTCCTTTTAACTACACTCATGGACACAATCGTATTTTAGGATATTTTCTACTTCTTTTCCTGTTCTTTCTATAGACCCTTTTTTTTCCTCTATTATTTTTTGAACCATTTATTTTAAATTTTACTTTGTCCCATCTTTTCTTCCTGGCCTTTTGAACTCGTACAAAATGTACGAAGTTCCTTTCTACTCTCCTCTGAAATACGAAATTGCCCCCCTTTTTATATACCTTTCCTTCGTACCTAAGTTTAATTTTTCGCCCATCGGAGCAGAAAGACTTAGCGAGTGCAAAACGAGACATATGTCTACGGTCGCCGCTTTTTCGGATGGCGAAGAGTCACAAGCGCGAGTCTCCTTTCCCCATCGATAGAAAGACTTGTGTCAACGATAGGGGAATGGCCGGTTTATCGATTACGAGTTTCAAAGTCCGTCTCGTGTATGAACCTTTGTGTTTAGAGGCAAAATGAATTTTGCGAAATCTTGGAGCGAATTTAAAGAAATACTTCGCAGACACGAAGTAGAAACTGTAACAAAATATGTTTACTACTATGGAAAGTCATTCGATAGAGAGAGTAAGTAATTTTTGAAGATGTAATGAGTAAATAAAAATCCTCTAGAATGTAAATGCTTTCTTTGGTTGTTTAGTTGATATTTGGCCATTTTGTTCCAAAGAACTTATCAGCACTAATTTGTATTGATTTTATTGCGTACGATCTAGTTGATGTTGCGAGATTCGGTCCAAGTTGAAAAAAGGGTTTATAGACGTTCATATTCATTAATTTTGTTGCATAACGTGTAATAGCGTTATGTTTGATTTTTATTTGGTTTCATTGTCAGGTATTGCATGTTTTTTTTTTTTTTAAATAGCTGATGCTTCACGAAACATTCCGTACTATATTAAACATTAAACAAGATATACCGTGTTAGATTTGAAAATTTTTATTGTTGTTTCTTGAGAAACTCGACATTTGTCTCGATGACTACTATATTTTTCATCCTATTTTAGTGTATGAATGCAGTCTGTTGATTTGAAATATAATCATTTAATAGTCTATAAAGAAAATCCATTCTTTAGTTTTATCATTAACAACATGTTTCAAAATAACCTTATAATAAACACTACCAATTCAAAAATATTCTGTTTTATTTTCAGGTAATAGTTCACCATAAAATTATAATGCATTGAAATATCAGGAAGTTATAATAATAAAGATATTGAATTTTAGAAAACAGGAAAGTTTTCTGAAATGTATATATATTTCTTTAGTGATGTGATATATATATTTCTTTAGTCAATGAATGCTACTTATCTTGTGTGTAAAATCACTTATCTTGTGTGTAAAAAAAAAGTTGTCTATTTTGACTCTTAGCACCAATGGACTAGCAGATAAGATAGCTGAATACTGGATGTTTGATCAAGGTACAAATACTGTTGAATGGATTAGCTGCATGGGAATTTTCCTGTTCTCCTTATATATATAAGTGAATACAAGACAGTTTCCCATTAGACCTTCTCAAAGGCATCCCTTTTGCGTAAGGCAGCTAGCTCATTCTATACTTTACCTAGCATATATAATTTTAATATGAGACAAAATGACATAAATTTTTTTACATAATAGTTTAATGCTTTTAATATCTCTCTATGTTTGCAGTAGGTGCTGCTTAATGTGATTACATTTGCCCATTTTTGATAATATAAGATGATGAGAAAAAAGTATCTTTTAAAATAGGAATTGAATTAACTATAAAATATAACTAGCCACTTTCTTAACATTTTAATTAGGAAAAATAAAAGTTTGTTTATCAATTGTTTACAGTCTTCATTGCAAAAGTTCATTTGAGTAGTCCATAATGTTTCTGAAATTTATTGGACCAATTCTATACCTATAATCTTAATACTTGGAGGGCATCCTTGTTTAAAGAGATTTTGCCAATGTAAAATCTGAAATTGGGCAAAAAAACGCAAGTTTGTATTTTGGCAAAGATGTTTTCAGGAATTTTTTACCTCCCTTTTGAAGAAGAAGAGGGAAACTGTGCTGAAGCCCTTCCAAATCAATAGCTATTGAAAATTTCGTATATGAAATTAAGTTTTTTTTTTTTTAATTTATTGTTTTGAGCTTTTTTCTAAATGCTTGATTAACATCAAAAATAAGCTGCACATCAATTTAATTCGATACTTAGCAAAATTTCCATGTAACTTGACAATTATTGTAACACAATTTTAAATTATTTCGTTCTTCAGTTTAAGAAATTTATTGTATAATATTTTGATTATATTAACCAAATTGAGCAAATCAAATTACAGCAAATGATGCATTTTTTATGTTTCCATATATGAAAGAGCTTAGAAATTCAATAGCCAATATACACGACATCAGCTGCAATACATTAAGCAGTGTCTACAGTATGTAGTATATATAGAGACAGTTTAATGTATAATATGTTTATAGAGATCTGTAATTTCTTTCTTTTAAAAATCAAAGTATAATGTTAAATGTATAATATGTTTATAGAGATCTGTAATTTCTTTCTTTTAAAAAATCAAAGCTTATCAGATTGTGATCTAAATCAAAATTTTCTTTCCAGTTGAACTAACTCCAGATTTACGATTTTAAACTGGTTAGATGATATTCCCTATTTCCACTTTGGGCGAAAAAAACCTATGTTTGCCATCAAGGAAAAGATCTGAATAAACGTCAAAAGGAAAATTATGCTAAAGAAAAAAAATGAAAAGGTAAAATAACATTGTTATATTTAAAAATTTATACAAAAATATCACCTCTTGGATTATATATATATATATGTGTGTGTTGTGTTTTTTTTTTTTTCTTTAGTGTCAAACTGATCATGCTTTTGGTAAAGCATATTCCAAGAACCAGACAACTAAAAAAGTTAATTGTCCAGCTGTAATTAATGTTACCCGAATGTACAGGATGCCTCAGTTCAAGGTAGAAGTTTATTTAACTTTTTGTTCTAAGATGGTCTTAGTAATTTTAGAGAATTTTTTTTTAAGGAAAAAAATATAATTCTGTCACGTATGAGCAAGATGTATTGAAGGTATTCTATGATAAAGTATACATACTTTTTGACATAAAAACAAAAAGGTATTTTTAGAGTCACAATGTAAAAAAGAGAAATGATTTTTTGTGTCTCTTTATTCAACATATTTTTCTAAATAGTTTTTTTTTTTTTTTTTTTTTTTTGGCCAAAGAGGGTTTTTTAACAGTAATATTTTCCTAAATAAATAATTCAGTAATTGACATGCAAATAAAATGATGTTTTCAGGCCAGAAAAGAAATAAAGGCTTTTTATGCTAATTATATTCTAACCAATTTGCTACAAATAGAAATAAGTTGTTCAAAGTGAAGTTTTATTGGTTATGTTTCTTTGAAGAAGTAATTTGATCTATTGTTATAAAAATGGAAGATCCTTTTTACAGCTTTTTTTAAAGGAAAGAAATGACTCCTCTTTTTTTTTTTTTTTTTTTTTTGAATAATTTGCTATGAACAGAAAGTTTTTAAAATTGAACCTTTATCAATAATTAGTTTTAGATGACTGTGCTGGAATTTCTAAATTTTACTGTGATAAATATGTTTAAATTACAGGTAGTGCCAACCCGAAAGAACCAAAAAGAAAGATTATGATATCTCGGAAAATTAAGGAAAAACTAGCCAATAAAGATAGTATTGCTGGTGAAGAAGTTTTCATGTTTAATTTACCTAATAGCCAAGATCATCAAAATCATCTAATGGGTAACATGGCTGCAGTAATAGAACCTATAGATGCTAGAGTGCGGCATTTCATAGCTTCTAAAGTTAAGAATGGGAAAAATGCAATGCCACTGTAATTGCAGAGCTATTAGAAGAAGTATACGTTTCAACTGAATTGGGAAAAAAGAAACTGATAAAACGCGCAGACGATTTTATCCAGAAATGGAGGCAATAAGGAAAATAATAAGCCAAGCAAAATCCGATATTAGAACTAGTAAAAATTGACCAGGAGGAAAATACAGAAATGTTAATAAATAGCTGGGATACTTCCAAGTGTTCTGTTTTTTTTAGACCATGTACTGAAAATACATATGATGGTACTGAGCCAAATGACTTTACAGATTCAAAACTAAATCTGCTATTTGTATATCAAAGTGAAGAAATGAAAAATTTATATGTCTTATATGGTTCTAATCTTGTTCTTCTCGACGCGACCTATATCGAACCTGTAAGTATGCTCTCCCACTTTATTTTTTAGTTGTCAAAACAAATGTGAACTATCAAATAGTGAGCATAATAATTACACAAAATGAAACAGCCAAAGCATTAGAAGAAGCTCTTATAATTATTAAAAATTGGTCGCCTCTCGTTAGACCAAAATATGGGATGGTTGATTTTGCAATGGAAGAAATTACAAGTTTGGAAAATGTCTTTACAGGAATTAAGGTTTTATATGTAGTTTCCATCGAGAGCAGGCATGGTCAAGATGGGCTTCTAAGAAAAAAAAAGAATGCAGTGGTTCCCAAAGAAGAGCTTTTGTGTAAATTACGTGCCATAGCAAATGCTCCAACTCAAGATGAAATGGTTGCAGCAATAGAGGTATTTAAAATCATGGAACCAATATGAAGCTGTGAAAGATTATTTTGAATTAACATGGTTCAAGGAAATTGAGAGATGGGCTTTGGCTTACAAACCAAATGACTTATTCATAAACTCGAACAATGGTGTTGAACGCTTAAATGAGGAACTAAAATATAGATATCTTCAGGGATATAAAAACTGTATGCTGTCTGAAATAATTAAGATCTTGGTTGAGAAAATTTCTGCCAGAAAGATATAGAATTTACGTCAGAAAAAATCTGAGTATGCTTTCGCAGGCCAGATTATACAATGAACATGTACCAAATTATTTAATCAATAAGCCAAAATGGTTAATTGATCACATAAAAACAAAATTAAGAGCTGCTGAAGTTTATGTGGGTAGTATAAAAAAAATTTCACATGGCTTCTTTAAAGTTTCTTCTGAAACTAAGCATGATGCAGTTTATTCTGTCACGTTTGATGAACAGAAACAACTGTGTCAATGCACATGCTTAGATTTCAGAAGAAACCGACTGCTGTGCAAGCATATTGTGTTTGCTGGCATGAAGTTTCCAGCCTGGAGTTTGGAATGTACTGCAGAACTGCAGAATGGCTATTTTCAACACCTATTTTCAAAAGTTGATGAAGATTTAGTCTCAAGAAGTATTTCAGGCACCAGAAAACGAAAATATTCATCAACTGAAACTCCTTCAGGTGGAACACATCAGATAATTTACCCACCATATCTGAAGAAGCAACGTTGAGTAAAAAAAAAGAAATTTGATCAATTGAGTGCGATGCAAATTACAGATCAATTCGGTCACTCCTTTGGAATTTAGATAGCGAAAAAAGAAAATTTACACAATGTAGCCAACTCTTTGAAGGAGATTTTCGAGTCTGCTTCAAAAACAGTTATGCGAGATGAAAATACTGGTCTACCGCTTCAAATTAAAAAAAATAAACTGAAAAAAAAAAAAATTAAACTAAAAAAAAAAGTAAAAGAATTGTCAAGAAGTATGGTCAACTAAACCTCCATCGCCGTAGAAATACCAGAGTTGGAAATAAAGGTGGATATACATAAAGAAACCATTTCAGTAGATGGCCAGTAATTAAAATTAGTATAAAACCTAAAGCAGGCTACAAAGAGCCTTTGGCAAAGGTGACACCCCCCCCCACCTATGAGTGGATAATAGAGTAATCTCGGGGACCTGCATGCCATGGATACACTAATACTTATTTTCAAATAAAATAATAAATTTCATACTTTTAGGATAATCTTAAATACTGAATATTATCATACTTGAAATACTTTAGTATGTGCATTTATTTTCGGATTCTTCAGAATTTATAGTGAAAAAACTGCTACAACTATATACTATCAAATACCAGATTTCAGACAATTAAAATTGACGATAATTCAAAGTATAACATATAAGTTTTGTACAATTCAATAAACATAATACATGTTATTATTTAGTAATATTTATTTCCTGAACAACTTTACAAACACTTATTTGAGAGTCATATAACTTATTTCTATTCAATAATGCTGCAGCTGCATTGATTGTCACGATCAAGACATATGAGCAATATAGTATTTAATGCACTCAAAACTGAATCTGGTAAAGACTTACGGCATATTGGTTACCAAATGCATCTAAAGCAAACCAGTATGCAGGGTTAGTTTTACAGGTTCACTTGTTTTCAAATTAGCAACTCTGTAAAAGTTTTACTCTTGGTTGTACTGACACTGCCTGTTCTTTCTCATATCTAATTGTAGTTATTTGGTTGTAATATGCAGTAAAGGTAAGAACACTGGTGTAATATGCTGTAATTTTTATGTTAGATAGCCCAGTTACATGACTACAACATTTTTTCCACTACTTTTTTTACACTGTAAACTCGGTTTAGAAAGTTATTTTTCCATGATTTTGGGGGTGTTGTATAATACATCATATGGAATAACTACAGTTAAATGTATTCATTCAAAAGAGGATATATTGTCTTGCTGAATCTTTTCCTGTACTTATTGTTTGATTTAATATTTCCAATGTGGTGGATTGACCATCATGGAATCATAGCATCCAGTAGATCTTTCAATATAACTCCATTCAGATATTCACATTTATATTATTGTAAATTAACGTAGAAGACAGATTGACAGATATTCTCAGTTCATAGTGCCAAAGTGTTTTTTAATAATGCTAAAATACAATTAAAAAAAAAAAAGATTACTCATGTTATTATGTAGAATTAATGTTAAAATTCCATACAAGAAACAAGCATCGATTAATTGTGTTATATAGAATTAAAGAATAAACAGTCAGGTAGAAATTTATAAATATAAATGCATAAAACACAACAAAAGGCAGGGCTGCATTTATTCATCCAGTTCATTGAAAAAGTTGTGGCTTTCCTAGACCCCTACCCCTTGTCGAACATGTAGGTTGTTTCGAATGTTGTCATGAGTAACTAACATAAAATATAATAATTTTTTCCCCAAATTAGTATGTTATAATTTTTGAATAAAAAGAAGAGTGAGATATAAGTGGTTATTCTAGCCGAAATAAAGTGTGCGTCGAGTTCCAGTAAAGACCCCAAAAAAATGTCATCTGGGAAAAAGCTGAGAAAGGGGAAACGAGCTAGCTTTAACCTGAGTCTAGAGATGCATATAATACATACATACAATACAGATAAGTGTGAGTCAACTAAACTGGTGCACTTAAATTATAACATAAGTCACAAATGTACATTACAGGTACAATAAAGCATGTCAATTTAAATAATATGTGTATATTAAGTATGGCCATAGGCCATTTACAATTATTTGGGTCATTCACATTATAATCGTAAACCCTTATAACAGGGTTGTCTTCAAATCTTTAAATTCAGAAAAACTTCTAAAATCGTAATTTTTTCTATAGAAGAATTTCTATCCTCAGAAAAATAAATGTTAAAGAATTGAAATATAAAATTTGTGCATTTTATGCAGAAAGTAAAAAAAAGAAATTCATTATTTCATTATAAATTTAATCATAAACAAAAATCTGCTTAATATTTTTTAACAATAATAATAAGAGAATTTCAAAGATTATTTCAAGTATTTCATTTTGATGTCCAGTGATATTAAAAATTGTTTTAAATTTTGACTTACAGATGCCCTAGAGGAGTTGCATGGTATCTAAAATTTCTGTGAAACACAGTTTGAAAACCTTCAGACTACTCGAAAACTTCAGATTATGTGAAAAAAGAAATGTAGATGTAAAGAGCAGTGATTAAAAAGTTTTAATGACCAAAATATTTTCATTCCATCAGATTATTTGTGTATTTTGAAGAAAGACACAATCAGATAATAAGATCACAAATAGAGGATAAGTTTTTTTTTTTTTTTTTTTTGGGGGGGGGGAATTATTGCATATACCATACATTTTAACATATAGAATATTCTTGGATTGTCTACTGAAAAAAGTACATAATATATATGTAAATTTTAATATATAAGAAGTAATGCAAATATTTCAATAAATGAATGGATAAAAAATGGCCTTCTTAAAACAACCTCATGTTTAAATTACTTAGAGGAATTTATGCGAACATGTTTCTGTTGGCATTAATTAAACATTAACAAATGTAGATGAACACAAATTGCATAATGTATTTTAATTGAATATATGTTTTGGAATGAAAAAATGTAAACAGCCTTAATATACTTAATAACTCGGATTTGTAATGCATATATTTTTATTTCCAATGGCAGACAAAAAGTATTTATACAGACACACTATCAAATAAACACACACAAACAAATATATCACACACTAAATAAACAGAGAATAAGGAAGCCTATTTACTACTACTGCTTGAACATACTCTAGGCTTCCAGTAACAGCCACAGAGATCCTGTACAAAGAGAGCCATGCATTTTGCAGATGGTGGAGGTTCGTATCTTGGGCTTTTATCACAAAGGACGAATACAGAATTTTTTTAATCAAAAAGTTTTGCTGAATAATGACGAGTTAAAATACAAGTTATTATGATGGAATTAGCCTTTGGGTATCGGAAATGAATATGTAGTTGAAGAACGAAGGTTTGCTTTAAATTACAAAATTTACAGATAATTCTAATGTATTAATTTAATTATGTGTTTTTTAAAAATATCATTTTAATATAATATTTTTCTAATACATTTATTTTATTATCCAAAATTATTTTCTAATTAACAGAAAGATACAGCATAACTTTCAGTGATCCATTGTCAAAAAAAGGCTTCTTCTGGACAGCTTAATAATAGTACAAGGAAATAAGCTTATTTTATGCATGCCTTGTGGCATGAGATAATGAATTTCTGAAGTATTTTAAAAACTGTAAAAATATGTACATATACCATAGAAATGATTTTTAACACTAAATAAAATTCAATACGTGCCCATAGTAAGATCAACTTATGAAAGCTTTTTTACCAAACTGGAAATCATTGCATAAGGAGGAAAATTTCCAAAAAGCCATTTTTTAATTTTTATAATATGACTAACATAAGGTATTGCTTTT